CAACTCGAGCCATTGCACCTGCAAGACGGCCGAATTGCCGACTTCCATCACGCCAGACCACGAGCCGCCATCACTCCAGGAGTTGATCATAACACGGCTGGGATCGCGGGGAACCTGGAATTTGATGGTCGAGACCTTGTGGCCGTCAACGAGCCAGACGCTCTGCTCCGAGTCCCAGTCCAGGCGGTGGATGGCCCAGTCGCGCCAAGAGACGGGCACCGTGCCATTCTGGGTCGACTGGTCGATGGTGTTACCGCTGTCGTCAAACGAGGGCTGGTTCGTGTACTGGATCCTGTTGTCAGGGTCCTTGGTCAGGACCTCGATATCGGCCTCCTGAACATCGGCGTACTTTTCGGCTTCGCGGTAGGTGAACAGGGCCGTGCAGGCACCTGGGTCGCCAATGGTACGGGCAAACATGCGGACCGAGACGAAGTGGTAGCCCATCGAGACAGACTCCATCTCGGCAGAGGTCTGGAAGTCCTTGAGACGCGCGGTGCGGAAGCTCATGTAGGTGTCCGACTGAGGGTTGGAGTCGGTGTTCTTCTCGATGTAGATGTTATTGGGAGAGTTGACCATGCTGATGGTGGCATCGTTGCCGCTCCTGCCCCTGTTACCGCTGTTGTTCCAGCTCTGGATAGACCATATTGACGTCCATGCATCGGAGTTGAAGTAGTCTGATGTTACCGAGGCGTTGCCGCTGTCGTTGTAGCTGGTGATGATGTCAGGGACACCGGCGTACTGGCCGAGGTTGCGGAAGTCGTAGAACAGATGGTTGGTGAAGTAGCTCTCAGAGGTGTTGGTGAGGAAGCAATTGCAGACATCATCCGCCACGACGGGGTGGTCGTCAGCCACAGCCAGAGGCAGGAGGGCGAGGGCCAAGCCCAAAATAGATGACCTCGTTGACGGCATGGTTGTGTTTGTCTGAGAGAGTGAGTGGCGTGAGGCTCTGTCGGGAACGGGATGAAAGAGAGAACGCGGGGATGGGATGATTTAAAAAGAAGAGGTGCCAATCCATCGTTGTCTTGGCCTGGGATGGTGTTGCCGTAAACACATCCCCAAGCAACGGCGCACCGGAATGTGAGACGTGATCGTGCGTTGTTGTTTCCTTCCAAATGTCATCGAGCCACTAGCTGGCCAGACCATCGCCCCGGCCGAACAAAAGCATAGCAGATCGAGTGACCAACAGGTAGAGAGCTACTGGGGATCGCGCGAGATCCCTACGAAAACGGCGTCGGGAGCTCCTTGGCTAGCGGCCACTTGGTCGCCATGATTTGAAAACGCTGCAGAGAGTTCAGGCTTAGCGTCAAGAGTGAGCTGTTGCAGCGGCCAGCGCGACTGGGCAATGGCGATCCCGTCGTACCCGTTAGGGACCGGGCGGGAGCTTAAAAGCGGCGGAGGGCAGAGGAATGAAGAAAATGAGCCTTGGCTAAGAGGAGGAGCAATTTGGCACACCAAGCCAACCTAAACGGCCGGATGCGGTGTTTGTTGCTCAGTCGCTCTCTTAGCGCCGTCTCGTGGAGCTTTCCGTGTCGCTCCAGACTCCTAGGCGGCGGGTAACAGGGACGACGGCGGCACGGGTGTCATTGAGCTATTTGTGGGTTGTAACGGGAGGCCTGCGGTGGCATTTGGAGGCTGTGCGAAAGGAGGTCACGACCGTGGACTGCAACGCTATCTCTGAAGGGCCGATGTCCTTGTTGTGATGAGAGATGAGAGAGATGTAAATGAGAGGATCTGACGCTGCTAGCTCGCGAGAGGTCAGTGCGGTACGATGCTCCTGGCCATGTGGAGGTGGTGTGTTTGGTCCAATCAAGAGGGCGGTATGCACTCCTGTCAACTCACTTCACGACTTACACCAGCTGCAGGGCTTAGAGCAGACGGTGGCTTTTTCGTGGGGAGGAGTAAGACTGGGCTTTGCTTATTACTAGAATATAATGAGAACGAAGGCTAAGAGTCTATACCACCATGTCAACAAGCTTCTCCGGGAAGCCCCGCAAAGGATTTACGATCTGTTCAGCAGCCAACCGAGCTGACACTAAAACATTTAGGGTACCATTCTTTCATGAGACGTGGAAATCGCATCGTACAGTATTATCCCCAATGGTCCATGTAGCATCCCTGACAGTGCCACGAGTCCAGATTCTTGTGCCATCTGCGAGTTCAACTTCCGTGCGGTATTTGCGTCCAGTATCCGTGATCAAGCCGTGAAGCTGAACGTACTCCGAAGACACAAGCATCAGGTCGGAACCTGTATCTGCCAGCGCTGTGGTGAGGCGATGATTTAGAAGGCCCATTATTCGTTCTTTTTCCTCGCCCATGAGTCTCAGTCGACGTCTGTGTGGAAGCAAGACTTTTTTGATACGGTGAGAGAACTTCGTCAGAGTTTCAGTCATCTTCAGAAACTGGCTTCCCAAGACGAAGTCATTGGAAGAGCCTGGCAGAATCCAGCATTTCAGGATCTGTGGCGTCTGGTCATTTGCAAACTTCCAGAATATCTCGATCATCCCTGGTGACTGCACCTTCTTGCTATTCGCAAGGGTTATCGTCTTTTCTGTTCCAGGGACTGGCCTCTTGCCGAGTTTAGAGGCGAAGTGTGACGAGACGATGCATTCATCAGAACCAGTATCTGGCGACGCCTCCGTACGTATGTCGTTAACGCTTCCCTCCACAACGTGATCCATTGAACCTAATGAGAAGTTATGTTTCTTTGGTGCTGATGAAGCAAGCTGACGAGCCATGGCTTCATGCTCGTGCAGTAGTATGCGATAGAGGTCTAGCAAAGCATGCCAATGGTCGTTGGATAATTTGGGGCTTGACTCCCCTATTGAGGAATCTTTTGCTTTTTCAACACACTTGCGATCCTCCTCGTCTTTCATCAACAGAACAGCATACAAAATGTTGATTTTTGCAACCAGCTGTTCTTGGCTTGGCCTTGTCTCGGGCTGTTTAATCATGACTTCGGTCTGGTCCATCTCGGGCGACCGTGGCTCGAATGATCGGCCATAAGTCGGCCGTGGTGACTCTGTATTGTCCTTCCGCTTGAGAGGTTCCTCCTCGGGGTCGCAGAGCCTTCCTGATTTACCGCTTGGTTCCCGCCGAAATTCATGATCGAGCATCTTAGTGTTTTCGGTATATATGGGAGATCGGACCCTGCTTCTTTTTGGTGGTAGAGATGATTCTTCTGCATGGTGCTTGAAAGCTCGGTTACTAGCTAGTGATTTGAGTCCTCTGGGTCTATCGCCATCTGTGTTTTCGGTGTTTGACTTGACAGCGTCCTGATTGATTATATTCGCCGGATGTGAACGCTCACGCGATGAGGCGTTGGCGAAGCCTTCGTCCATGCCCACCGCGGGAATAGACATGACGTTGGAACGCTGGAAATTCTGATAACTCATGAGTGAAGGCATGTTTGGTGAAACCGCTAGGGGGGATACTTTGGATGCCTCGAGTCTTAGAGTATCGGGGTAGTAGATGGTACTTATGCCGCTTGTCTAGCGAAGCGCCTTGAGCTTAGCGTAGGTATATGCCAACGATTCTTGTTGGATGACCTAAATACTGAGACACCACAGCCTCAATTTGTGCACCTTGAGAAGCCACGTCAGATACGGGGAATAAGACTCGGCGTGATTGGCGGCTCAGCCTCTCTCTCCAGGCTGAATCTGGGTATTTTGAGTGGTCAACTTCCCAGCAACTTGGCTTTCGAATCTATGCCCTTGCGAGACCCATGTCAAAAGGCAAATGCCAACCACCAGGCGGTGAGCCGCCTAATCTAGGCGGACCTTTTTTTCGTAATGCACCGGAAATAATCCTCATCAAGACTACAAAGTGAGATTTACGAGGTTGTTACTTCATACAATAGCGAATACTGGATAAAGACTCCCCTCCTTTGCGTACCGAAGATTTTGATTCAAAGAGAATGGCGACCCCAAAGATAGGGTACGCCGAAGCGGCAAGTTGGATGGCGCGAGATGGCGACAACGAGACACTGATATATCGCCGTTTCGATGAGCTTGCCACCAGAAATCTGCTCTATCTCCAGTCCGAACTGCTGAGTCTTGAACACCAGCTTAACGAACTTGATAGGGAGGACGCAGAAGATGAAGATATGGACTGGCAAATGGTGGTGTGCGACTGGGAAAAGTTGGGCGAACTCGTACATTCATCGGACACAAGTACGGCAGACGACATGCAAGCATCAAAAGCCAACATTCGCGCAAAATTGATAGAGAAACTACGTCAGAAATTGGAAGAATATTGTGAGTTGAAGTTGCCAACCCTTGGGCAACCTCGTAGATGAGCTCATTTATGACCAGACAAAACGTTACTTCGGCAGAGTGAAATCGCGAAGCTCAGAAGACCGAATCATCGCGTTCTCTCTGCCTTTAAAGCATGGTTTTCAGGGGTGAGCGAACTTAGTGGGAGGGAAACGGAACTACTCAACAATGCCAACGATCTCGTTGCCCTGAATCCAGCCCAAGAGATGGACTATCTATCAGAACTTCTCAGAACAAAATGGCCAATTAAGGTAAGACCAAGCGCAACGACACAGCGAAACTGTACTCATAATTTCCTAGGCAGATGCTAGGGAGAACGGAGTCAGGATAGGAAGATACGAGGAGCATTCAATATCAATCGCAGTCGCGGTCATCAGCACCCTCATCGCAGCCATCCTCCTGATAGGGTCAATAACGGGACTTTATTTCGTCAAGAACGACGCTGCAAAGCTCGGTCTCATCGCATTCTTCACGTCCCTATTCGCCCTCAGCGTCGGGGTGACGACGAACGCGCGGAGGGCCGAGATATTTGCCGGAACCGCAGCGTAAGTTAAGCATCGTCATCAACTGAGAGATATCAAACTAACGCCTTTAGATATGCCGCGGTGTTGGTAGTTTTCGTGAGTGGCGACCTCTCGAGCTCGCAAGGGTCATAAAAGGGGTGAATTTTCGCCCAGCCTCAAAGCTTGACAAAATTGAAAGCAGACGAGGTCAACGAATCAAAAAGATTTCCCACTACGAGATTCGAACTCGTGTCCCCGCGGTGAAAGCGCGATATGCTAAACCTCTGCACCAAATGGGAGGTTCTATTCACTGTTGAAAGGAACAGGAGCGACGACAGTCATGGAGCTCTCTGGAGGCGGGACGTGCAATCAGACCAGAGAGGTTGCGGTGAATTTGTTTTCATTCGTTTGCTTTCTGTCATGGATGCCTAGCCTGGCTGCACTTGCCCGAGACACCCTCACGTAACCCCCACGGTGAATTCCTCTAGCAGCGTCAACTCGTTAAACTCCTCAATGAGCCTGTCCACCCTCGCCGCTTCCCGATCCCTCACGGCGAGATTGAGATCAGTGACGAACAACCCCGTCGGGGTTACCGACTTCCCGCTGCTCCTCCGACTATCCGTCGCTCGAAACTCTTGCCATATCGCATACCCCTCCGCGGCATTCAGCGTCCCCTTCTTGACCGCCATGCCCAGCAGGCCCTGCGCTATCACTCCGGCGACGGCGAAGGAACGGTAGAGACCCAGATAAGCATAGATGCACTTGAAAAAGTAGTGTCGTCCGTCGGGATCGCTTGCGTCGTTTGCCGCGGCGTTTGCCACGTGCATGAGGGCTATGTGCCAGAAGATGGAGTAGGTCCTTTGAGGTAATGTCATGTAGGTGTCTACCAGGCTTTTAAGCTGCTCGAGGGAAGCAGCAAATATGGACGGTACGGCTGGCGCAGACGGCGACCACGAGTTGATCGTGTGTTGCTGTTCGGTGGGGATGAACGGCCGGAAGAGGTAGAGGATCGTGCCGTGGAAGAGCATACTACATACGGTGAGTCTTTGCTACGTGCGGCTTCAGCTACGAGATGACGTACTGGCAAACGAGCACATGGCCAGGGCTGTGCTCATTACGGGTTACACCTTCGGGCAGGTTGGCTGCCCATGACAGCAGTTTTTGGTATTTTTGCAGGGCGAACCCCTTGGCGGCCTTCCCAGGGCCGGTGTCATGCTGGTAGTACCACGTCAATCGTGATGAGATGACCCATAACTCGCATAGGGCTGAGAACGTCGCTGCCCCTCGTGGTGGTTCACTTCTTTTCCTGCGAGAACCAGAGGCCACGGAGTCGGGAGGACTCTCGCTTCTGGTACCAGCATGTACGATTGGATCCTTCCCAGGTATTGGAAGAGCTGGCGGATACTCGGTAGTAGCTGGCAGATAAAATTGCGAAGCCATGCTATTCCCATGATTAGGGAACACTCTTGTCGCAAGGGTGGTCTTCTCCGAGACTCACCTCAGATTGCTGAAGACCCCCCAGGCGACCTGTGCTTTCGCCCTTGCGTCTTCCTCAGAGAGTTTGCCGAGGTCTTCGGTGGTGCAGGAATCGGGAGTGCCGAAGAGCTTCATGCGTTTTGCCATGGCTGCCGTGTCTTTGATGTACTGAACGTCGAGCTCGCCGTCGCCATTGCAGCCCACAGACTGAATGAGGAAAGCCAGGGCGGCAACAGTCGTCAGGGAGTCTTCTCGATCTGCGCGCCATAACCTATCTGCTTCTGCCTGGAACTCGTGACTCCAACCAGAGGCGGCAGGGTCGTATGCCGCATAGGCTTGCTACTCAGGAGTTAGCTGTGGTCAGACTGGAAAGGGATGCCAAGACTAACGCAAGCAAAGGCGAGTAGGGCGCTGACGAGCAGCGGAGAGCAGAACTGGTATTCGTAGTGGGTGAGATCATGCACGAACAATTCGGTATCAAACAAGCCTAGAATGGCATGGTCCGTCTCAAGGTAAAGGGAGATGACATTCGCAGCAACATCGCTTGGTATGGACACGGCCGTCCAGTGTGTGATGTCGAGATCTTTCAGGCGCGAGTCGGTCTGAATTGGGGGAGGGCGGATAGACTCAACCGAGAAGACGCTGGACGTGCTCGACGGAAGGACCACGGACTCGTTGGAGGTTTCTCCCGATGAAGAACCGGCCACGGACACGTTGCTAAATACCGTGCTCGGTTCAGGCGATGACGAGGCCGAATCAGATGCTTCTGTGATCCGACGCATTTTGGACGGCCTGGAGTCTGTGCTCTCAGGACTAGAGAATCGAGGGACGTTTCCAGAGATAGGGTACGCAGTCGGATAGTCTCTCATGAGTTCAAACTCGACATTGGTGTGCAGCTGAGGCAGAAAGCGTCGAGGGTCAAGGCCGGACGGTGTGATGGAGCGAAGAGGAGCGTTTGGGTCGACTGCGAACTTGAATTCCTTCACAGTCCTCGCCATGGCCTCTGGTGACATGTAGCTAAGCTGGGCCAACATTGACTCGAGAGCCTGGTTTTTGCGCTTCTGGACCTCATTCTCGCGCTTGTTAGCTTCGTTCTCGGCTTTGAGAGCCTGGTTCTCGCGCTTGAGAGCCATTGCGGGCGTCTCCTTTTCGTCTACACTGACATAGGCGCATGCCACGTTCAGCTCGACACATGATGAACACGCAGGTCTCTTGCCATCGCACTAAAGGTAGGTCTGTTAGTTGACTTAAAGAGGAAGACTACGGGGCGGCCCGGTGCTTACTGCCTTTTTCTTGGCACGACAGGCATTGCATGCAACTTTTGTCGCTGTGGCACGTTTTCGAGAGGGGGCAGGCGGTGGACGTGATAGAGCTGGGAGGGGGGTTTTTGGGGCAGGAAGCAATCGACGGAGACTCTGGTCAGGCATGACTCCGACTGGGTTTGCATCGATGCCCTCGGCTGGATCAGGGAGTTGCTGCTTCAACAGCAGTGCTCGTACGACTTGGGAAGGGGTTCACGATGGAGCGAATTCGCCCAAGGTACCAGAACGGGCTTCAGTCGTCGTGATGGGGAAAAGAGGGGTATTTGGCATGAGGGGAGGCAGCATAATAACCGAGGGGGCGAGCAGAAACAAAGAGCACACGATCGTCCGTATACCGCGCAGGATGGAACCCGTCTCGATGAGTTCCAGCTGACGCAGACATTGGCTGGGACGATCCAACGACGGCGAGGATTTGCGGCTCCCCGCGCAAGATCATCAGCGGTGGTGCGGACGATGCGGCGGACGAGGCGGGTGATGGCGGAGATGAAGGGCGGGCAGAAAGAAGACGGTGAGACCAAGAGGGCGGCAGAGGCTCAACGGTTTGGGAGGGAGTGAGACGTTGGCGTAGGAGAGATAATAGCAAGTCAATCGTCAAACAGAGAGGACGGCAACCATCGAGAGGAAGGAAAGGCAGAGGGAGAGGCAGAAGAAAGCTCTGTTCAGCTGGCTGGGTGCAGTGTGAGTGTGGTAGTAGTAGGGCAAACCAGAGTGACAGAGACAGACAGACAGACGAAGGAGAGAATCCGATCCGTCCCTGGAAAAGACCGGACGTAGCTCCGTCGACTTCCATCAGGTTCCGACCAGTGAGTGTGATTTTAATCTGCCCACCTCTGTCGTGCCCTCTTTCGAGTCTTGCATTGCCTGCCGTGTACCAATGGAAGGCATGCGGGCAGCGGCAGCAACAGCAACAGGCCAGGCCGTACAGTGTTGCAGTCTGTCTCTACATTACCAGGTAGGCGGGCTCTGCGGGCAGCAAATCCATCAGACCCAACCCGACTACAACTGCCCATCCCACTCCCGCCCGCCTTCCCTCGTCCACTTTCCGTAAGGTATTGCCACCAGCCAGAGAGAGAGAGAGAGGTCTAGGTCTGGATCTGGCCAGCAGAGTGCGTGCCTGCAGCAGCTGTGCGGTCCATCGTCACTTTTGGACTAGGTTCTGACAAGAAAAGGACACTGGCCCCACACGGTGCCACTAGATTCGTTGCGTCGGTCTCGGCACAGTGCGCACAGACAGTGCCAAAAGTGGTGCTGTGGTGGCCGTGTGCCCCCTAACCCTGGCCGGGCATCCTTCACCTGGAGCCTTCCGGGTAGGTTGAGTGCCCTGGCTGGCTGGCCTTGAGGGGCCTTGGGCCTTGGGCCTTCCCCTGTCCGTCCACCCAGCCCGCCGTCAGTTCACAGGATTGCAACTGCGGAACCCCATGCGGCCCATCACCGGCGCGGCGTCTTCCTTGTATCCAAATTTCAGGTGATGCACTCATCCGAGCACTGGGTCTGCGCGACCTGCCAACCAACCTCAATCTCTGCCTTGTCTTCTCCCACCACCCCCAGCACGCGCGCGCACTCTCCGATTCCGTTCGTCGACCTCTTCACCACTAAGCTATGAGGGCCCAGCCAGGTCGACAGACTCTTGTTACTCGGTGACAGACAACTGACTTACTTCGCGACGCACCATCGAATTAAACCCTGCATTCCATCCCTTTGAAACCATGGCGTCAGAGTCGCCGCGACCCGCCTCCCCGCGCGAGGCTGATCCCGAGCAGAGCACGCCCGCGGATGCCCCGGCCGACGACAAACGAAGCTCCTCTGCATCGCCAGACGACTCTCGCGACGGCGCCGACGACGACAAGGCTGCCGCCAGCTCCCTAGAGTCTGGCGAGGCCAGCGAGGGCGCGTCCCCCGACGACAACGCCCCTGCCGGCGACGACGATGCGCCGCCTCTTCCCAACGAAGCCCCGCCGCTGCCCTCAGGGCCGCCTCCTGCCGCCGAAGACGACGGCTGGGATTTCCAGTGGGATCCCACCTCCAACGCGTACTTCTTCTTCAACCGCTTCACGGGCAAGACGCAGTGGGAGAACCCGCGCGTGCAAACCGGCGCCGCCGCGGCCTCCTCCTCAACCGACACGGGAGCAGCTCCCGGCACCACCGCGGCCGCCGCGCCTCTCCCATCAGGCCCTCCGCCCCTACCAGCAAACGACCGACCCGCCGCGGGCGGCTATAATCCCGCCATCCACGGCGACTACGACCCGACCGCGTGGTACGCGCAGGGAGACAAGGCGAACGAGGACGAGGCACAGCAGACCGCCGCGCTCGCGGAACAAAATTACGGCGCGATGGCACAGTTCAACCGCTTCACTGGACAGTTCCAGGCGGCGGGCGACGGGCCGGACCGGCACTCGGACGAGGCCAAGAGCAGACGGCAGATGAACGCCTTCTTCGACGTCGACGCCGCGGCCAACTCCCACGACGGGCGTAGTCTCAAGGCCGAGCGCAGCGGCAAGAAG